CTCTGCGCGCTGCTGCTCGGGCGGCTCGGGGCAGCCCAGGAGCCGAGCGTCTTGTTTGATGTCGGTCCCCCCGCCCTCCCAGCCTTTCCCTAGGCTTGGAGGCCACCGGAGGCCTGGCACACATTTCTCAGACACTTCATTCCTTCCTTCCTCTGAGCTCCCCACTGAGATAATGTTGTAAATGATTTCACCAGATCTCGGATGAGATTCAGTGGTTCCTGACTCTGAGTGACCCTGGGCGAGCCCCTCTTTCTTTCATTATGGAACGCACGCTCTGTGCCAGACAGTGTGTTAAACCCTGGGATTATCACGATGAGAGATACAGTGGCAGCCTGCAAGGAGTTTACAGTCAACTCTGGAAGCAGACAGACCCTGAGTTTTTGATTGATGACCGGGCATTCCTCTATTATTCCTTTCTCTTAGGGCTTAGATGACGGCCTGAAAGAGCAAGAGAACCTCAAAGAAACACTAAACCACACCTGTATGGGCAATACTATTGCTAGTCTACAGGGGATACAGGGATGAAAAAAATAGTTATTGCCCTCAGGAAACCTTCAGCCTACAGATACTTTACTGGTGAGTTCAGCTAATACCTATCTGTTTCCTGTATAGTCCTCTGGTAGGTTCTAAGTTCAAGAGAGACAGTTATGTGTCTAGATAGAAGTAAAATGCCGTGAAGGTTTAGGATAATTAAATTACTCGTAAATTGGAGTACCCAGGAAAACTTCCTGGAGGAAGTGGACTGTGCTTTGTGTCTTGAAAAATAGGTAGGATTGGGGCACTGGAATTGTCGTGAGTCATGGGGCAGGGGAGGATGGAGGTACCCGTGACATTAAAGGCCTAGACTCTGGGGCTTGAGGTCCCAGAGTCTTATTCAGGGAACATGGGTCTGGAGCCCAGGGTGGGTGGCAGGCAGGAGTATAAGAAGGAACCGAAGGAGGAGGCTTGAGGCCATGTCACAAGACCCTTAACCATGTCACTAAAGGACTTTGGACTTATCTGTAGACAGTGGAGAGCTGTGAAATGCTCTTGAGCAGAGAAGGGACATCAGGGTTCTCCTTTAGAAAGATGGCTCTGGCAAAGGTGTGGAAAGTGGATTGGAGGCAGAGAGTCCAGTGAGGAGGTTCAAGGCAGTAAAGGAGGTTCCTAAGTGACAGGTGTAGACTGACACTTACCTGGAAACACCTGCCTAGAACCAGCTCACCTGGGCGTTGACTGCACACTGTCCAGTGTTCCAAGTTCAGGAGAAACCTGTCTACCCTTTAATGCAGTTCCCCCACGACCTGGAGTCTAGCTAAGGTATTGTTGTGACTCTGACTGCATTTAGCTTCCAAGCCTCATTTCCAACTTTCAGGACAGCCCTCAAGTCTGCAGCCAAACCCTTACATCATTGCAGGCTTGGCTTACTCACTCTTGCCCCTCGGGCTACTCTCTGGGATTTTTTTGTGTTTTCTTAACACGCTGCAGAGTGGGCTGTGCCCTATCATGTTCTGAAGAAATGATGAACAATGCCTCCTTTGTTGACCTGCAACCTGGGCCAATGGGGTAGTCTTATTTTAAACAGACAGAAAAGTGGTGATGACAGAAAATTGTCTGTTGCTTTTGAAAAAAGTGGAGTTTTCCTGTGTGCCTGAAATCCTCTTGGAGAAAGCTGATGAGCCTGTGAAGTTACCCTCCTTTCTGCCATGCACACTTTGCAAGCTTCTTAAAATGCTTCTGCTCAGTATCTGACTTTTAAAAAACTGCATAAATCCACTGACCCAGATTCTTCCAGGAAACTAAACTCTTCCCAGGGAAGCATGTTAACCTTTTCTAGGTTCCCCCACAAAGCCATCAGAGCCAGTGACTTGCTCCACTATGCTCTGCTATCACATTGACTGCTGTCTGCTCCTGGGCCCTAATTAACTAGCCAGGTATGCCCCTTCTAGCCTGAGAGCCTTTTTTGTCTCTGACTCTGTCATCTCCTCAGGATTTGGCCCCCTGAAGGTGCGTGGAGAATGTTGCATATAGTCAAGTTAGGGTCTCACTGAACTACCTAAAGCAGCCTCATTGGTCAAATAGTTAATCAGCAACTTGTTTATTGCCACTATAGGAGTGCTTAGACTGGTAGAATGCACAAATAACTTACACATACACACACACACATTTTTAGATAGAGAGACGGAGGGGTCAGTCAAGTAACCGAAAATTTGGCATGAATTTGAGTCTGGGCCAAACAAACCAAAATATCAACCCAGGAAATCTCTGGCCCTCCACCCTCATCGTTCAAGAAGAAAGTTTCTTTGCAAATGTGCTCATCGACAACTTTTCAGTATCCTTATCCTGGGCAGTGAAAATATCATCAGTGGACACTCTCTCCACCCCTTCTCGCATGGGGAACTGAGCTCCTAAACTCAGGAGAAGACTTTTGGATTTGGAAGGCTCTTCTGGGACAGAAACCGCCTTTATTTTTCAGTCATGCTCCCTCCCTCCCGAAGCAAAGAGAAAATTGAATTCTGTTCATCAGCAGAAGTCACATCTCTGATCCCATTGTATCGTGCCCCATAAATACAACCGTATCTCCTTCCCCCCTTCTGCCCCGCGAAGGGTGATTTTTCTGTCTTATTGCATCACCTGTTTGCTTTAAACCATAAATACCTGCCTCTGGTGAGATTCTCCTTTGTCCTTAGGTATCGGAATGGTTTGTGGGTTTGGTTGAAAGCTATGGAAAGGAGAGAGAGTGAGAGAAGAAGAAAAAAAGGTATTTTGCCTGAGGACTTGAAGCTTTTTTTCCCTTTTCGTCCGCTTCACTGACTTTCTCACACTCAGATTCCCTGCAGCCTGCCAGAGACGTGGTGGCTGCCCTGCCAAGAGCTATCCTGGGAGGGCTATTGAAAAAGCCTCGCGTAAGTACACACTGGGCAGATTTGCTCCTCCTCTCAGGACCTGCTGCGCACCTGTACAGGGAGCAGTCCCACACGTATCACCTGATCGCAGCCCTTTCAGAGACTGTGAGAAAAATAAAGTCCAGGAGAGAAGAGATGTTTGCCGTCTCTCCAGGGCTGCAGCCAGCTCCCTGTAGTCTGAGCGCCCAGAAACAGCACATTCCCTGCCGGTGGTGCACTCGTGGCAGCCCTAACGCATGCTGGGAGGGGGCACCGGGAGGGGAAGGCAGAGGTCACCTGCATAGTGACTGCCTCTCTGCCTCTGTTTTCTGGCATCCGCCTGACTGGTAGTTTCATGATCCTTTACTAGAATCATTATTATGGTCCTTCTAGATAAGAGTCTATATATGCCTGTCACAGCAGAATTCACAAGCAGGATTTCTTACCTTAAGGTTCACGGATGAACCCCCAGGGAGCCTATAAAGCCCCTGAAATGGAGCTCAAAATTATGTCTCTACATGCATATTGAGCAGGACCTTAAAAAATACTTTTTGAATGAATGAACGAATACATCATTTTTTCCCAAGGAGAGCGTCCGGAGCTTTCAGCAGAATCTCAAAGCTTTTGGTGACCCGGAAATGTTGAGGAAACTGAGCCAGGCAGTCTCGCTTACAAGTGGGTACTCTAAGCCCCAGAGAGGGCAAGGGACTGGCTCAAGGGCCTACAGCGCCCTACGGCCAGAGTGGGGGATCAGAAGCCGGCTTGGAGCTCCTCCCACCACACCGCAGTGCTGTGGTCTTTGGTAAATTTAGGATGGGGTTTATAGAGTTGTGATCACCACCGGAGCCTGGATTTAAAATAGACACATTAATAAAGATACTTTGAATTTCCAGAACTTTTTTTTTTTTTTCTTAATTCTGAAGCACTTGAGCTGCTCTGCACCCAATTTTTGGATGGAGGAAGGGATAGGCCAGAAAGCCAAGTGTCTACGAAGAGAAGAAGATTCAGGAATGCTTGGAGCAAGAGTCCTTGTTGCCATGCAGAGGCATTACACACAACTGCAACTCTGCATTCCATCTTTGATAAAAATAAGTTGCTGCTTCTGAACAAAACTGCCTTATTGGTTTCTGGCCGAGCTGGGACCTTGAAGGGCAAACTGGGCATGGTGGCGGAAAACAGAAGCTTTCAACATTGGCTCATAGCAGCCTGTAATGCTTTCTGCCACCTCCATTGCTCCCTTGGAAAACTTGACCAGAGCCAGGGAGACCAAGGGAACGTGCACTTTTCTAATGGGCTCTGAAAGAGGATAGTTGCCAAGAAAGCCTTTCCCAGTGCAGTGGGGGCAGGGCACTCTGAAATGGTTTGACTCCCACATTTGGCTCGGCCACAGCAGAAGCAGTGGGAAGGTTCTGAATGTGCTCGTAGCTAACCTTGTCCCCTTTGAGCAGGGCTGCAGTGAAGCAAGCCCGTAAGCCCCGGGGATGAAGGAGGGCATTCCTGAGGGATGGCAGGGATGCTAATTTGCACCCTTGGGTGTGAAAGGCTCAGAACTGCACTGGGGCTGGTGCCTGTGGGGGCCCCTGGAAGTCTCAGGAAGGTGGGGTGAAGCCTAGCCCCTTGAAACCCAGGACATGCATGTATTTGGCTTGCTGATAGCTGCTCCAATTGTGACATCAGATAAAATTTCTCAAAAAAATCAAAAACAAAAACAAAAATCTCCGCTAGCCGGGAAAACCTTTTGGGTAAAACTTAGGGCCTGAAAGTGATGTGAGATGAATGTGTACAACAGATTTTTAAATTAAAATTGCCGTCATTATTATCCTTGCATTGTCTGTTAGCTTGTAGAAACAGGCTGGGGGGAGGAGGGGAAGGGACCAAAGAGGGGACTGAATGGGTCCATTCATTGATTGCATGGGAAAACTGAGCCCGGGAAGAAGTCACTTGCCCAGGGTCAGACAGCCTCCCCAGAGAGGGAATAGCAAAGCCAGAATTAGGCTCAGGTTTCCTGCCCACCAGTCCAGAAACCCTTCTCTTTATGAGAAGAACATTTTGAAATATCATCTACAGGAAGTGACTAACATTACTAGCAAAGATGGATTTTCCAGTTGAGGACCTCAGCTACCTGCGGGTGAGTGATTTGGACAGTGTTGCAGAATATGCCCAGCACAGAGCATGGTTAAATTCCAGGCTTGCTGCACTGTGAGTCTGTCTCCGATTTGCTCATCACTCTACAACCTCTGGAAAAGAAGAGATCTTGATTTCTGAGTTCCAGGAGATAGGAAGCCACTCACAGGGGCCACACAGAATTGTCAGCCTGCCTCTCAGTCAACCAAGCCAAGTCACATGTCATCCCTTCTTTCTTATAATTGCCAACCTGTTTCTCTTATTTGTTCTCTAAAAGGAAGATTGGGAGAGAGAATATTTCCAGTCCTGGAATCTGCTCCATCGATACTGGGTTTTTATCGCAACCAGAGAAGGTGTGATGCTAGGAATATAGTAAAGGCATTGGAGCACAAAGACATTGAGCTGCTGGCTGACTTCACGTTTAGCAGAGGGAGAGGTGAGAAAAATAAAGGATTTTCCAAGTGGTTGATAAATGCTATTTGCATGTGAAATATATATTTTCCTTTTAGATGTCAGGCTTAGGGAACAAGAGAAGATGGTCCAGGTAGCTACCACAACTGCAGCTTAAGACTCTGATGGGTTCTAGGAGAGTTGGGACCTTCTGGTCTCTCCCACAGAGTTGGAGGTGCCTATCCCCCAGTCTTGTCGTACTTGACAGTTGACCAGGCACTTTCTAGTCCGTTACAGCATTTTGCCCTCATATATAGCCTTAGGATCTAGACCAAATGGACTTTGGTGGAAGGCCCACAGAGGGAGAGAGAGGATTCAAGTGGTCAATGCAGGAGAAATTTGGCTGGGCCATGGGCTGTTGGGGGCACTGGATGTAGAATAGACAAACTTTCTGGAAAATAGTACCTCTAGAGAGAAAAGGCAGGGCAGGGAGCTTAGAGGGCAGGAGAGAACCAACTTTTCTTTCTCAGCCATAGGCAAGAATAAGATTTCCAGAAGCTGGAACAGAGGAGACAAGGGAGATGTCTGTCAATTTGGTATAGAATGTCAGTGATCCAGAGGGCACATCTTTGGAGCAAGGAGGAAAGGTCCTTTCTCATAGAGTGAAGCCAGGAAGGAGGGAGAAGTGAGGGGAAGGAATCCTACTTAGCAGGAAGATGACTGAGCAGGTTCTGGAAAGGATATGGGAAGGTGATGACCATGCTCTCCAGTGGCCTGAGGCTAGAGCTGCTTAGTTCAGCAACCAATGCCTCTGAGAGGCTTCCTGGGAAGAGCTCAGAAAGAGAGCCCAGGTCTGTGACTGAGGGGCCCTGTAGAATACTGGAAACTGCATCACTTCTCTTTACTTGTTAGTTTTGTTCTATGCTGTCTGTATTGCCATTGGAATAACATAAAATCCTGTAGACTGGAAACAGGATTGTTGTGGGATTGTTTGGGGGTGATGGCAGGCAGTGGGGGCAGCGGGAGACTGCATCCTGTTCTGTAGCCAGTCTGAGGGTAGCAGTCCCAGAGAGGAGGTGGCAGGGTGAGGGTGCTCAGGGCAAAGGGGGAGGCAGGCGCATCGAATCCTTGTAGTGCCAGGGAAGGGACCAAGGACCCAGGGTTCATCTCTGGCTCCCTGACCACTGTGGGCAACCGCCCACATAATGCAGTGCATTCTGGGTCCCCTCAGCCCCACTCTGCATGAGACATATGTGAGGTCAGGAAAAGGAACCTCTCCTTTTGCGGGGTTGGGCTTCCACAGGCCAGCCCTGACTGAAATCTGAGAGGAGCCAGGGAGGGTGGGCTCTGTTGTAACATGCTGGTGTGTGGCAGGCTTGCCTGACCCAGGGAGAGCTCTTGATAAAGTCCTAGAGCGTTGCTGGGTCCTGGAGGAGGTTGCCAAGCTGTGCGTGTATCATACACATATCCAGCTGTGGTCTTGATCTTGATAGGCTCCCACAGTCACTGAGCGACTCAATACTCAAGTTCGAGTATTTGATCTCCTTGTCCTGGGCGGCTATTCAACCCTCTACACCCTCCTCACTTGCCCACAAAGTGGGCAGGTCTGCCCTGAGGCAGACCTAGACGTGGTGTCTAGAACTACCTATCATCTGGACCGAGGGGTGGGGTGCCAGCTTGTTTTCTTTGTGTCAAGTGAACCTGTATGGATGGTAGTCAGACAATACAGTCATGGGTTAAAACCATCCAATTTCCAATTGCCTTAACTTACCTTGAGTTAGTTCAGTTCAATGAATGTTTTTGAGCACCTAGTATGTAGAAGGAAGAATTACACGCTGATTTTGCCGGTTACTTGTGTCCCTGCCTGCTATTCCTACGCTATTCATCTGTGCAATGGTGACATCCCCGGTTTATATTATAAAAATGTACCCTTTACTTCCCACATTCTTCATCTCTACTGCTTCTCTCATAAAGAGGCTACAAAACTCCTTATGGTGTCTGGTATAATACCTTTCACAGAGTAGGCACCCCTGAATATTTGGAGAATAAATGCATGAATGAACTTGGACTTAAGGGAATATGTTTGATTGATGAGTCAATGGAACCCTCAGAGGGTCACCATATTTTTCCAATTTTTCTTTGGTTCCTGAATCAAAGGGGTGGGTTTACTTTGACCATTCCTGGTGACCACCTCTGGGCAGCCGGGCTACCCCTGCAGACAGCTCTGCTCTGCTGCAATCAGGTGAATTTAGAGGAGTCTGTGGCTGTCCGTGTTTTCCCAGGCGTATCTTTATTGATGGTTATTAAAGACACACCACCACATGGCAATCTGAAAGTACAAAGCAATTCCCAGGGTAAGGTACGTGGGAAGAAGTGAGATACTGGGCTCCCAAACGATTCTACTGTAATCGCAGTCTGCCATATCTATGTATAGTTAATAAGTAAGATTTAAGCAGGCAGGTTCCACCACTGGGCAGCAGATGGAAAGGAAAAAGAGGCCAGTGGGGAGATCACTGGTCCTTCTGGAAAACTGGCAAAAAAAATAAGGACACCTGGGAAAGGTGAGTCTGGTGGGCAGTCCCCCAGGTGGTCCTGGAGCCAGCAAATGGTCCTGAGGAAGGACCACTGCTTGCCTCCCCTCACTCTCTCTCTTCATGCTAACCCCTCATGGAAGATTCTGTATAACCAAGACGTACATAGCAGTTGTGCCCAGACACTGGGTTAAATAAACGTAAATACAGCACACAAAAACACCTGTTTTTTACAGAGCACCCCAACACACCTGTTGTTTTATGATGCTGAGCGATATTGATAAAGGAGGCTATAAAGTCGAGTGAAATGGCCTCTTATATTTAAATAGCACCTTCCTCTGTGAACTTCAAGTGTTTTACAGCTGAGATTTGACTGACCCGGTGATTATTTCTGTTAGGAATGTCAAACACATATCTCTGTATATGTTCAGGAAAAACTATAGTAGGTGGCTAAAAAGCAAAGATTCTAGAGCCAGACTGTCTGGGTTCATGTTCCAGCTTGTCCGCCTTCTAGCTATGTGACATACCCATTCTGTACCTCAATTTACTTACCTGGGAAATGGGGAGATAGTCATGGTACTTATCTTATAAGACTGTTATGAGGACTAATTTATGTAATGTGCTTAGAATAGGGCCTATCATATTGTAAATACAATATAAGTTGTCGGCTGCTTTTGTCATTGCTGTATATGTATCTCTGACATGTAAGACAGGTACCTGCGTGCATTTAAAAAAAAATCACAAGATGTTAATATTCTCAAAGAAATGTATGGACAACCACTGTGGTAAGTTGGTCCCCAACTATCCGACAGAGCAAAAGCTTCAGACAGTCTTTTATGAATCACAGGATGTGGGACCAGGAGAGACCTAAAAAATTATCTGGCTGCTTCTCCTTTTCCAAGGAGGAAGGTCTCTACTACCCGAGGACTGTGGTTGTGGCCTTTTTTGTGGATGGATGCAGACCTTGGTATAGTCCTGCCCTGAATAATTGGAATGAGCCCCAGGCCCACGGAAAGGAGAGTTCTGGATGGAGGCAAGGGCATGAGCAGGGGGCTGGTACACAGGATGTGTGGGCAAACCCCCACCTCCCACAGGAAGGAATGGGAAGGGCTGCAGTGACACTTAATCCAGAAGAATAAACATGGGCAGGCCTTCCCTGGATCCCAGTCTCACTTGTCCGAGATAAGATTGGTGGGAAAGATAAATGTCTGAGACCTTTCCTGCTCTGGCAGTCCTGTAGGTGACCATATAATTTATGGTCCAAACAGGGACACTTTTGAGAATGAAAGGTAGTGCTGTTAACAGTTATGTCAGGGCAACTGGCATAGACTGGGCCACATGACCATCCTAGTTCTGTGGGCCCACGATGGCATGTGCTAGATTGCTCATCTGTCTAATCAGCAATCTTTTCGTCAGAGATGCTTCCTAAGAGAAAGTGAGAAGAAGTATTATTTTTAAGTCACTAATGTTTTAGCACTTCTATGTCTGTGGAAGGTGATACCACTGATCTACCTTCCATAGAGGGGGGAGCCCCGTTTTTGAACCTAGAGGACATTCCTCAGTGTATATAGGAGAAGGGAGGGGCAGAGGAGGCCCCATGATGGTTGGATGGTTGTGCTCAAGGTGTGTTTGACATGACTTGGTTTCTTCTTTGATAGAGCAGGTGTGATCTGAACCTCCCCACCACCTGTTAATTTGCACACAGGTTGTGGTTACAGCCCGGCAATGCTGCCATGGACTCTTGCACCTACCAACCATGGCTGAGAACATCCATTTTTCTTGGGCATGTGAATGTGGAAAAAGCAAGTGCTATAATTTGAAATCCAGGCCATTGTTCGACGGCTAAAGGAAGACCCCAAAGGACAGAGCATTTTCCCACCTGAAATATCAGCCCTTTTAGCCTTGAATTCAACTAAGTTTTTAATGGTTAAAAACACAAACAAACACAAAAAACCCCCAAAACACCTTTTTTCTGAATAGGTCAAAGTCAAGGTTTGCTCTTTGTTAATTTCCTTAAAAAAAAAAAAAGACAAGAAAGGAAAGAAAAATGGCTCCCTTGCCTGAGTGTTCTTATATGTGCCTCTTTAATGATTAATAATATCTTGTGGGCTATTGTTTGATGTGGCCTCTGCTGGTTTGAACAGGAGAATACTGATTCACTCTTAAGGCATTTATGAATCACAAGTGTTTACCCTGAGACAATAAATGAAAGGGGGCGATTAAAAAAAAAACACACCCAAATATGCTGAGTTCTTTGAGTGAAAACTGGAGATAACGTGGGATCTCAGTCTTTGATACCCTGTGTGGGGCCCACCGCCGTCTCTCACAGAGTAAAGATTGTGTAGAATGACCAAGACTGGGGCTTTTGAGTTTTATAGATTTTTCCTTTCACTTGCTGATAGGTTTGAGGCAACTTTTCCCTTCGGTTTCCATGTTGCATGCATTGCTTTTCTTCCCACCTGTCTGGTCACCCCAACTCAGTCGTTTGCAAGCGAGTCTCTTTATGCATCTTTAGGGGCACTGTTTCCTTGAGTCTCACTTGCTGCCTTCTTTGGTTTTCCCCTAAACCAAGGCTGGGCTCCGGCAGGAACCCAGAGGGTAAGTTGGAGACCTGCCTTAATTAAAGTGGGGCTGGTGGGCTGGAGAGAATGGATTCAAGAGGATAAGAGATTGGTGACTGACTGGACCATGATGGGGAAGGAGGAGTCAAAAGGTGATGCCCAGGTTGTGGCTTGAGCAACTAACTGCATAGACCCTTCGTCCACAAGTCCACTTTTAATAGAAACTCCTAGACTTATTTTCCCATCTTTCTGCCCTGAAGTCTAGAGTTTAGCAAAAAAGTCTGCCAAATTTGCCCCTGATGATCCTTTTTTTTTTTTGTGAAGAGATCAGCCCTATGCTAACATCTGCCAATCCTCTTTTTTTTTTTTTTTTTGCTGAGGAAGACTGGCCCTGGGCTAACATCCATGCCCATCTTCCTCCACTTTATATGGGACGCCACCAGAGCGTGGCTTGCCAAGCAGTGTGTTGGTGCGCGCCTGGGATCCGAACCAGCGAACCCCAGGCCACTGCAGCTGAGCGCGTGCACTTAACCGCTTGCGCCACCAGGCCGGCCCCCCTGATGATCCTTTTAAAAAAGGATTTTAGGGACTGGCCCAGTGGCGTCGTGGTTAAATTCAGTGCACTCTGCTTCAGCGTCCGGGGATTTGTGGGTTCGAATCCTGGGGTGGACCTGCACCGCACATCAAGCCACACTGTGGCAGCGACCCACATATAAAATAGAGGAAGACTGGCACAGATGTTAGCTCAGGGCCAGTCTTGCTCAAGCAAAAAAACAAAGGGAGATTGGCAACAGATGTTAGCTTAGGGCCAATTTTCCTCACCAAGAGAAAAAAGTTTTTTTTAGACCTACTGGAAAGATAATTTTAGACCTACAGTAAAGTTGCAAAAATAGTAGAGAGCTCTCTTATACCCTTAACCAGCTTTCCTTATGTTGCCATCTTATATAACCATCATCAAAACTAAGAAAACGATCTTGGTGCAATACTATAACCTACAGACTTGTTTCTGATTTCACCATTTTTTTTTTAACATTTTATTTATTTATTTATTTTTTTGTGAGGAAGATCGGCCCTGAGCTAACATCCATGCTAATCCTCCTCTTTTTGCTGAGGAAGACCGGCTCTGAGGTAACATCTATTGCCAATCCTCCTCCTTTTTTTCCCCCCAAAGCCCCTGTAGATAGTTGTATGTCATAGTTGCACATCCTTCTAGTTGCTGTATGTGGGACGTGGCCTCAGCATGGCCGGAGAAGTCGGTGTGCGGCCGGGGTCTGAACCCGGGCCGCCAGTAGTGGAGCGCGCGCACTTAACCGCTAAGCCACGGGGCCGGCCCCTCACCATTTTTTTTCTATTGATTTTTTTTCCCTTCTGTTTCAGGACCTCATCCAGGAATACAGTGCATTTAGTTGTCTTGTCTCCTTCGTCTCCTTCACTCTGTGACAGTTCCGCAGTCTTTCCTTGTCTTTCACGACACTTGTAAGAGTACTAGTCAGTTTTGTAGCGTGTCTTCCACTAGAGTCTGTCTGAGGTTTTCTCATGATTATATTGAGGAGCTGTGTTATTGGGAAGAACACCCAGAGGGGGTGTGCCCTTCCCAGGGCAGCAGGTCAGGGGCTACGTGATGTTGCTCTACAGTCATGCTTTGCTTAATGACGGAGATACGTTCTGAGAAATGTGTGTTAGTTGATTTCGTCGCTGTGCAAACATCATAGAGTGCACTTACACAAACCTAGATGGTATAGCCTGCTACACACCTAGGCTATATGGTACTAATCTTTATGGCTTGTGACTGTATATCACTGCTGTTGTTAACCATGATCGCAAGGATAAGATGATTTCTGCCAGGATTGGCCGCTGTAAAGTTAAGATTTTTTTCCGTTTGTATTTCCTAAATGTTTTGGGGGCAATACTTTAAGACTATGCAAGTATGTTGTTTCTGCTTATACTGCTTTGTTTGCTGAGGAAGATTCACCCTGAGCTAACATCTGTGCCAATCTTCCTCTTTTTGTATGTGAACCGCCGCTACAGCATGGCCACTGACAGATGAGTGTAGGTCCACGCCCGGGAACCGAACTCAGGCTGCTGAAGTGGAGCGTGCTGATCTTAACCACTAGGCCATGAGGCTGGCCCTCTCCTTACACTTCTGCCTGCTAAATTTAGTTATCAACGCACCTGTGACAATGAATACTGTGGTAATCTAATAGTGAATTTCGATTTCCCTCATTCCTTCCACTCTTATTAATTAGGACTCTTCTTAAGGAGGAGTTGCATGATGTTATAGTGTAATAAAGAAGAAATAAAAAAATCATACTCTTTTGGAGCCTAAATTCTAGATGGAAAGATAGACAAGCAAAATAAGTCAATGGGTTAGATAGTATATTAAAGGGTGACAAATACTATAGAGAGAAATCAAGTCGTAGCGGGGAGGAGGGAAGTGCTGGGAGGCGCAGGTTTAAATTGTGTGGTCAGGGTAGGCCTCAGAGAGAAGACTTGACGCAGGGGAGGGAGCCAGCATGTGAATATCTGGTGGGGGATGCTTTCTAAAGAGGAGAAACAGCAGGTGCCAAGGTTCTGAGGCAGGACCACCCCTTTGTGCTCTAGGAAAGCCAGGAGGCCAGAGTGAGGAAAGGGGAGCGAGAGGGAGGGGAAGCAAAGAGTGACGAGGCCAGATGGTGCCGGCTTGGGGCCATTCTAATGACCTGACTATTGCTCTGAGGGAGGCAGGAGCCACTGCAAGGTTTTGAGCAAAGGGGTCACACGATGCACTTCATATTATTAAAAGATCTCTTGGGCTGCTCTGTGGTGGCAAGGGTGGAGGCAAGGAGACCATGCTTAGGAAGCTGTGACATTCATCCAGGTAAGAGATGAAGGTAGCTTGGACCAAAATGGTCGCAGAGAGGTGACTGGACTTTGGATGTATTTTGAAGGTAGAACTAACACTGCTAAGAAAGTCTCCCTTGGGGCCAGCGGCCTCAGGCCACCTCCTGAGCCCCCAGGGCATGTGTCCTCCCCCCTCTGCCTTGAAGTGGGGCTTCAGGAACAAATTTGAGAAGCACTGGCTGGCCATGTGGACTGTAAGCTCTGCCACCCCTCATTGGAGCCTTCTATTATCTGGGTCCACCTTCCTTCTCTCTGCATGCGCCACCCACTTCTTCTCTGCCCCGTTCTGCTCAAGCCAACCCACCACCAACATTTGCTCACAGTCTCCCACCCCTCAGGGCTCTCTGCTAATCAAGATCCTTCCCATCCTCTCTGGCGCAGCTCCACCACCCTCAGCCCCGCTCGCTGAACTTCTCCTATCTTGGCTGGGGACGCTAACTACGCTCTGCTTCACGTGTGCAGCCCCTGGAGACAGATATGGCCTCCAACACCCCTGTAGCCTCAGGGCCCCTTAAACACGAGAACAGGCACCAAGTGCTTCATCAGCCCGGTGGTTGGTTTGTTGGTATATGGCATATGGTAAGGATGAAGATATTATATTTCCTCTTAATCATCCAAGTACATTTGCATTATATTCCACATACATTCCTATTTCTTTTAATATAAAAATAATATTTCTGCCTCTCCCTCTGCCCAACCCTTCAAGTAAAATTGAAATTCCAACATTTCTCTTGTTAGGCCACTCTGTGCCCCTGGGGGGCCTGTGTACCCCAGCTTGAGAAGTCAGATGAGGGATATAGGGAGAAGCAGGCATCACTGAGGGTTCATTTACTGCCAATGGATTTCTGTCTCTTTATCTATTGATTGCTTTGACTTGAAAATGCAAATGGTTAAAAATTTCAAGCAGTACAAAAGGGTAGATCCTGAGAAGTAACCCTTCCAGCTGTGGCCTCATCCCCCAAGCCATGTCCCAGAAGTGGTCAGTCTTATCCATCCCTTATATACCCATCCAGCGATTGCTAATGGACAGTCAATGGCTGCCAATTGAAGGTAAACTGAGGCACAGTGAAAACCAGCCCCCAGCACTGCACCTCCCAGGGCTAAAGCTGCTCCCGTGCAGAAGGGCCGCTGCAGCACAGCCAACCTGCCGTGTTTATTGTTGTCTTTGGCTCAGACCCCATGGGGTGAGTTTGCAAAGACTCCACACTCGAGTGGAATTGGGGAATTTGGTACCACCCTCTGGCTCTCGGTCTGTGCCCTCACAGGGAGAGTCGTTGTCATCGAGATTTCCCAGGTTGGCTGCTGTCTCTCCCTCCAAGTCGGCCAGCCAGAGAGAAGGAGCACAGCCAAAAACTACATCACAAAGAAAGGCCGGTAGGAGAAGGGGTGGAGGAAGCCAGCCCCTAAGCTGCAATGGCAGCAACGCCCGGGAGATGACAACGAGGTGCCGGGGGGGGGGGCCCTTTAGCCTTCCTCCCCACTCCTCCTTGTGGCTCCGAGGCTCACCTGAAAGGCAGTCCTCTCCCCCTACCTTTCCCGTGGGAATTCAGCACAGCCAACAGAACCCCTGAACTCTGCTGGGCCGCTGCCAGCAACTTTCAAGTCTTTCCCCCTGCCGATTACAGTGACATGATGTCATTTTTATTGAGGCAAGATTAGATTTTTTTTTTTAAGTTTTCAAAAGTGTGGTTCACATGATCTCTAGTACTTTTCCTATTGCTTGAAGACCACAGAGCTGCCAATTTCAATTTGCTTCAGCTTTTATCACTAGAAGAAGCTTAAAAGAATAAAGAAAGGGGGAGAAAGGCTGGATGAAAATATTTCACTTGGCCCTGGCAGTTAGCGTGAGGGTGGCAGGGGACACACGCATTGCCCATTCCCTTTTGTGTGACTGGTGTAATAGGAAGACGTCAGGAGACTGAAGTTGGGACTGGCTGCTGAACGACATACAATGTCCACTAGACTGAAGGATTTTCATGCCAGAGCCACAGGTGGAACATGCAACCTGCAGTCATTCACAGTAGTCAGGAAAGTATTAGAGAGGATGCTGATCTATTGCGTGATGGGTAAAATAAAGTCATAGAAAAGTTGTCCTTCCTCTTAATTCTAATTTTACTAATTCTCCTCTTTGGAGGCAAGATTTTCCATTCATTCATTCATTCACCATGTTTATTGAGTACCTACTATGTGCCTGGCTCTGCTGGGAATGGAGAGTGAATAAGGCAAGGTTCATGCCATTCACCATTGTTAAGAAAATTGAAGAATGCCTATTTGTATGGATCATAGTTTTTCAAGTGCCAACTCAGCCGTCAAAATGGGTGGTGTGATGGAAGATCGTGAAAAATATGAGGTCTAATCACATTGTTTTGGCATAAAATCAGAGAATGAGGTCTGGAAGAGTAAAGGACGTGCTAAGGAAATAAATGTCTCCCACTCTGTGGGCGTCTTAGAGTAGAAACAACATTTAAATATCACCAATCGATGAGCCACTCTCAGATTCCTAACAGTCTGATCCTCACAACAGGCTGTGCAGTAGGGAGGGGCAAAATTTACCCCCTCTACACCTCATCTGGCACATGAGAGGTGCACAGGGAGTGTTTGTTGAATGAATATTGAGTAAACCTCCAATTTACAGGGGCAAGGTAGGTTCAAGAGTAATCAAGAGATTGGTCCCAAGTCACCTGGCAGTAAGTAGCAGAGCCCGGACTTGAACACAGAGGTCTTGAATACACGTGTCAAGGCCTGTCATCACTCCTAGAGGCATCGCTCTCTGGAGAGTTCTCTAAACTGCTGCCCTTTCTTTGACTGGCAGGAAAGTGACTCTGGAGTCAACCTCCTCGAAGGTGACAGTGAGTCTTGAAGAGTAATTTCAATGGATGCAGGCCAAACTGACTTCAGATGTGGACGAGACACCTCATGAGGACATGTCCTTGGAAGGTTCTCCCAGGGTTGGGTCCCTTGAGCTAGGAAACCTGGGCTTCGGGTGTTGTTTTTTGGGTGTGGATTTCTAAAGTGTCCCAAACCGAGTTGGAAATCTCCTTTTGGAAGCCCATGCATCTCCCCAACTCCTTCTGTCTCTGTCAGTTATGTGGATCAGAAAAAGCTGGATTCAGAGCAAACTTGTGGAGAAATGACTCCTCGTCTGTGACTTGTAAGCCTTGACTTTTCTCCTCCACAGAGGGACGGGGGCCGTCGTGGGAGTAGGATAAGTCCCAGGGAGTTTAAAGGCTTCCTCAGCTTGGGGCAAGGCAGCTGCACTATCTGGGCTGGAAGAGACCCAGAGAGTCACCAAGCCCCTTCCCCTGCCTCCAGGGGAAGAGGAGTAGAGTTCACGCCCGGGGCCAGAGCTGGGTATGTCCCTGCCAGGCAATGCTATGTGGGGACAAGGAGGAGGCTGCAGGAGAGGGGAGTCTGTCTGGATGAAAAGGGAAACCAGAGGGTGTGAAACTCCCTCTTCTCATCCACTTTACCCTGAGAACATGAGGTAGTGCAGAAAACTTTGAACAGGAAGTCGGAGAAGGATCTGAGTTCTAGTCCTGCCTCCACTGTAGACTCATGTGTATATCCCTGAAGAAGACATTCATTGCCACCTCCCTGGGCCTCAGTTTCCCCATCAGTAGTCTAATGGTTTCCAACCAATGCTTGAGGAGGAGATCCTCCCCAGGGAGTGCAGGGTCAGAGCCTGGAGGAGGTGCTGAGCAAGGCGCTCTTGTAAGTTCTCTCATCATTCTACTAGAACGAATGGGCTCTTGCCTGCTCACACATCGCATGTGCTCATAACATTTTGTTCAAAGAAAGTGTTCCATTGTTTTTTATGTTTAAGTTTGAAAACCACCAACTAAGATGCTCTCAAAAATCCTCTCCAACTCTAAAATCTTATGATTTTTCCCTATGCCTCCCTGGCTTTTGGACTTTGTCTCCTCTAACCTGTAGCATATTGTTCTTTAACCACTTGTATGCTTATTTTTCTCTTCTCAAAGGCTCCTTGCAGCCCAATTCCACAAATGATTATGAATATGTGGATCTGTTGCAAAGGCTGCCTGGGGCAGAGTACCTGCCCTTCAACTGCTTGAACAAAGTTGAACCAAAGTTCAAAGAACAAAAGTTGAACAAAGAATTACAAAGCTACCCAGTGTCTTACTTCTAATATCCTTCACCAATAGCTGGGTCCTTGTCTCATCTCTCTCACCCACAGCCAGCACATGTAGGACACTTAGTAGGTGCTTTGTGAATATTTACTGAAAGGATTGATGAATGAATGGCTTGTTCCCCTCTTTGGGAGGAATCACAGATGTACCTGTAGCTCAGGGCCTTCCCAGGACTGGCTGGAGCTATGTGGATGCTGTGGGCTCTGGATTTTCCTTTTAGGAGCTGGGCTGATTACAGTTGTTGGTGGTCGTCACCTGTTATGGGTTGAATTGTGTCCCCTAAAAAAATATGTTGAAGTCCTAACCCCCAGTACCTTAGAAGGTGACTTTATTTAGAAATAAGAGTTGTTAGAGGGTTATTGCTGATGTAATTAGCTGAAATGAGGTCACGCTGGAGTAGGATGGAGAAGAGACACAGAGACAGAGACACACAGGGAGAGGATGGCCATGCGACGATGGAGGCAGAGGTTGGGGTGATACATCTACAAACCAAGGATCACTAAAGAATGCTGGCAACCACCAGAAGCTAGCAGAGGCAAGCAAGGATTCTCCCCTCTAGGTTTCAGAGGGAGCACGGTCCTGCTGACTCCTTCATTTGAGACTTCTGGCCTCCAGAACTGTGAGACAATAAATTTCTGTTGTTTTAAGCAACCCAGTTTGTGGTACTTTGTTATGGCAGCCCTAGGAAACTAATGCATCATCCCACCCTCAATATTATGCTTACAAGGAAAATCTGCAACCTCTTTTCCTTTAATTTCTATGATATGTTCACAGAAAAATCTGTTTGGCTTGAACTTACTTTTTTGAAGCATTAATTAGAGTTTCTCATCAAAATATTTCATGTGTTTAAAGCTCTAAAAGCTATGTATGTTGGGTTATATGTGTGGCGTATATTAGATAGTAAAATAAACAAATGAAAAAGCAAACAACCTTCCCCAGACAAACAAAAAAAGCCCCACCCTTAGCCCTCATCTTTTTACAGGCAAATTTGCTGAGAATTGGCTGCTTTGTTTGACCTGAGAGTCTGCACACTGTTCAGTCTGAGGGCGACTTTTACTCTCCCCTCCAGGAGCGGAGCAGGGTTGTCTGGGTTCAATGGGATGCAGAATCATTGTCTATCTCTCCGCAAAAATGATGGCACTTGCTTCTGAATATCTTTCTCGTGTTTTATTTCATCAACCCATTCTCTCGGGGGCGGATTTCCAGCTCTGGCTTCTCCTCTGGTGCCCTTGATCAAGAAAGCATGGCCCTTCCCCCTCAATCCCCAAGGAGATTCAGGAATTTGTAGGACCCACCTCATTTCTGGTTATTGAATAACTGGCAGGGCATCGAATGTCAGGGCTAAGAAAACAGGCCGGCCTACCTGTGAAATCAAATGACATCATAGCCCTGGCTGTTCTCATGGTGTCAGCTTGCCTTGTCTGTCAGCAACTCTTTTATCACAAGCCCCACTTACATCATACTGTTCTAAACACCTAACCTGATCATTGTCACTGTGCCTACAACACGGGTGAATGACAGCAGCTTAAGGTTCTGATTAAGCCTATGGCAGTCTTGCGTCAGGGGGAAGGGGTGTTTTTTTCATCCTTAAGAATGGAGGATGTCAATGGGGAAGGAATGAGGGGCTTATTGTGTTTTAATTCAAAATTCACCATTAACCTTCCAACCTGGATTTCCAGCCCACGGCTTCCCTCAGCAGTAGAGGTGGAGAAGAGCAAACCGTCAGCCCCCCATCCTGCCCCAAATCTGATCTGGCTTACTAGGGCTTTCCTGCAGGGAAGAGAAGGTTCTGGCACAATTTCCCCAGCATGGGGTACCCAGCATGGGTACCACAGCAACAACACTTGTAGACATCTTTGATCCAGAATCTTTGATGTGGAAAGTGATATTCTCTGGGCTTTGGGGGATGATCAGATGGCCTCCCTTAGGTTGTATGTGTGGAACTGCTTTTCACCCCTGGTACTGGCTTCCCACTCTCTGAAAGATTACCACAAAGACAAGGAGAACGAAAAATGATCTTGAATAGCAAGTCATGGTTTCCTCACGTTAGAGTTGGAAGAAGTGGGAGGAAACTGAAAGGGAGGTCATTATTCTGTGGTGATGTTAAGTTCATTCATTTGCTCACTCATTCATTCACTTATTCATTCATTCATTCATTCAACAGACATTTTCTGAATGCCTGCTATAGGCCATGCACTGTGTGATGTGCTGGGGAAATAAGCACAATGTCACAGTTTAATGATGCCGCTGTGACTTGTGCCTGGGGAGATGTCTGTCCAGGGGGTTGAGAGAGTCATGGGGAAGAAGAGAGCTCAACCAGTGGCCTGGGGAAGCAGAGAGGGGAGTTTTATCCAAGGACTAGAAGAGCGATTTTCAAAGCATAGACCTTAGACATCAGAATTACTTGGAGGAGTTTGTTAAAATGCAGATTCCAGGCTCCCACTCCAAACCTACTGAGTCAGAGTCTCTGGGATGTGTCCTGGGAATCTGCATGTTGATTCTGGAGAATGTCTGCTTTAGGATGCTTTACGCTGCCACATCACAAAGGATGTTTCCAGTGAGAGCTGAAGCCAGTGAATGCACAAGTGAGTAAGGAAGTCCAGCCTTGTGGGAGAGGCGCAGAGCTCCCTATATTTATAAATTCACTTGTAACTGAGACCTTGGCTGATGTAGAGATGAGCAAGGGACAGCCTATGACATCTTTTTGCAAAAGTGAGGATAGAGCCCTATGTCCCATAACTGATTTTGTCTCAAACCTTCAGTGATCTTTCTTTTGCTGTTTCCACTTGTCTTTTCTAAGGAAATCGTTTGTATGGGAGATTTGAAGACATACATACGATTCCAAGGACGTCACTGGGGTGAATTGTTTCTGTTGCTTGTTGCCCGGCCGCCTGCTTGGGGAGGATTAACATTTTCCTTTGAGGCTCCTTTTGTGGAGGACCTGCTATGGCTCTTGCTTAAGTCTCCAGGTAATCTTCAGCTGAAGAGAGAAAGCCCCCACCAGTTCTCGAGAGTTCTTCTTAGCTCTCAATAGAAAACAAGAGAAAGGGCAGTAAAGGTAGGCTGCATACCACCACGTGTAATGTGCCATTTTGTTCAGTGAGTAATCACAGCTGGAGGAAATGGAAACTGAAAATGGGGTTTCCTTACTATCCATTTATTCCTTTGACAGAAATCTGTTGAGTTGGTGTTGTGTGAGTTGCTGGAGTTTGGGGTGAATAAGACAGATACAACCCCTGCTCTCATGGTGTTTATGATCTCTAAGGGAAGAGAAACAAGGAAACGATGGATTGCCATTAAGCGTGGTGGGAGTTAGGCTGATTCTCCTGTGGGTCCTCCGTGCCAGCAGAGACTGCCCCTGACCAGGGCTGGATGGCTCGTTGGTACTCAGATATCCTTGTCCTGCCTTCATTTGTTCCTTCATTCGCAAACATTGGCTGAACCCCTAATATGTGTCATGTTGAGTGAATTATGTCCCGGACTCTGTACTAATAACCTTAGAGGCAGATTTAAAAAATGAACAAAATGTAAAGCCTTGTCCCAAGTTGCTCAGAGTCCAGTGAGGGAGTCAGACAAGTAAACAAATTGCATCGAGCCTGGGATAATGGCTAAAGTGTACAGTCGGGGTCTGTACAAGGCCACAGGGGAATGTGGGCTGGGGTGGGTGCAGCAAGGGCAGAGTGGTCGGGCAGGGACCACTGAGCTGGACCTGGAAACATATGTAGGAGTTTTTTCATTCTTTCAGTACAGTCGTGCTCCACATAACGACGTTTCAGTCAATGACCGACCACATATATGACGGTGGTCCCATAAGATTAGTACCATATAGCCTAGGTGTGTAGGAGGCTATACCATCTAGGTTTGTGTACGTACACTCTATGATGTTCACACAGTGACGAAATCACCTGACGACACATTTTTCAGAATGTGTCCCTGTTGTTAAGTGACGCATCACTGTACTTCCCAGTCAAGATGTTAACTGATATCTGTTTCATCATTCAATCATTTAGTAACTATGGTTAGCTATGGTGTTCTTAGTGAGCCAGCTAGACAAATCATTAGATCAACCAATCAAACCAACAACTCGTTGGTCTCCTGGCAGGTGACGAGCTATAGTCAAGCACTGGGAGCTAAATAGAAGAGGTGGAAGACTCTGTCTCTTACCCTCAGGGAGCCAACAGCTGACCTGAGGTGGCCAGATGTCTCCGGTCACCTCCAAAGCTCCTAGTTTAGAAGAAGGTAGGTCCTGCCCACTAGCAACAACAGGTTTCCTTGTGGGTGGAAGTGAGGTGCCCCCATAGCTCTGTGGGGCAGTAAGTACAGCTCTTAATTTTTGTAACAGAATGCCAGCTCTGTTGTCTGCCAGGCTGGTATCTAAAGTATGAGGATCTATGGACAGCTGATATATATATATATATTGCATATATATATATATATATACATATATATATATATATACACACAATAAAGTTCATTTTATTTTATTTCTAATTATAGCCTGATAGATACTCATTAACAAAATAGAAAAATACAGAAAAGGTGAAAGAGGATAACCACCCTCATTATTTGGTATTTTTCTTCTTTTTCTCTCATGATTTTACATGGTTATGATCATTGTACATATACAATTTTATTCTCTTTTTTCTATTTAACATGATAGCAACATAAACTTCATCTCATATGACTGCATAATCTTTCATCACTCATGTACTATGATTTACTTAATACATTTAAGCATATAACTTTTTAAAAATTTATTTCTCTTAAGATAAATTCCCAGAAGTGGAATTGCTAAAGAGAGGAACATTATTAAGACTCGCAATACATACTGCCAAGTTGTTTTCCAAAGGGTCATACCAGTTTTTATTTCCACAGAATATGAGAGTGCATGAGTTTAGTTCTAAATTGTCTGCTATTTATTCTTGCCAAAAACATGATTGAGACAATGAATTAAGCCCTGTCCTGGTATGTGATTGGGCCAACACACAGAAATACATTTGAATTGCATTAGTTTAGTCCCTTTACATTGAATTATAAATTAATACTGTGCCCTTAACTTTTATTGTAGGTTGTTGCAAAACAAAAAAGACGCTTTTGGCATCTTCTGCTAAACCATTAATGATGACTCCATCCATTGGACTACTCAAGGTCCCTTTTATCAAGACACATTCCTCTTTAACTTCAGCCATATTTCCATTTTTTATCGAATAATGATACCTTGGCTATCAAGAAGCTCAGAGTTCACGTTCGTGTTTGCTGGAAGTAAGGACTCTAAAACCTT